TAGCACTTCCAGTACAGTATTTAATGACTCCAAACTCTCTCTGGTGTGTGTGTGTGTGTGCACGTGCATGCGTGCGTATCAGTAGAGATTAGGGAGTTTTTGCAATAATGTGGATCCAGATACGGTGAACACTAAAGTCACGTTAACCTTTTCTTAATTAGTTATTAAAAGAAAATAACGTGACCTTAGCGTTCGTATTTAGATAAATCATCGTATTTAGATAAACGTAGTCGTGTTGTAAAAACTCTCTATTATCTCTACTGATACACACGCACGCACGCACACATGCACGCACGCATCAGAGAAAGTTTGGAGTCATTAAATATTATAAAAGTAACGAATATAGTCCTTACTTTATTGACACATCCGCTCGCAAGCATATTCTCTCAACCGAGAGTCACATATTCCGAATCAAAAAGCCTGTATTTTTACATGTTAAATCTTTGAAGGCTTTATCACAGAAACGACTCATAAGATCAAGTTGTGCCTATTGAGATATTTTGTTCAGAATGAAGAGAACAACATATACAAAAATTAGCCAAATCCACAAAAAGACATTTTCCCATTAGTACGGAGTCGTCTTTAATCCTGGTATATATAGTACAGGAAAATTGTCAAATATATGCATAACTTAAGTAATATTTTATTATATTTTCCATTTGGTACTGATTTGTACGCAAATGAATATTGGAAATTGTAGTATATCGATATATCAGGCACCTACTGTTGTGTATATCAATGTTGTAATTGTATATATTAATATTTCAGGCACCGATTATTATATGCTTAACTTTTTATCAATAATAAATTAATTTGTTCTAAGTCTTTTTATAACAAGTTACAAAAAGTACAATTTAAATAGCAGCTATTCTAAATCGCACCTAATGCAGGTCTTCTTAATCGTATCTCCTTTGAAAATTTATCAAAACTATAAATAAAAATAATTAAAAATATGATATGATGAACAATATTTTTATTTTAGACCGTGTGTGTGTGTGTGTATGTGTGTGTGTGAAAGAGAGAAACACAATCAAAATGCTAGAAATTTAAAAACGCCTATTACGGTCGAAGCTAGATCTTCGTTGCTTAAATAATTCAATCTTGAATTACTAATATTATATGTACTATATATGTATTTGTATATATACCATATTGTAGTCTTTTTCAAACTGCGCGCCGAATTATTTTTCCGGACTAAATAAACGCAATTAAAACTATTCTAGTATTCGCGAATTAAATTGACAAGCAATTTAATAATTTGATGCTACCATCAAGCATCATATATTATAAAGATGTTAATATGTTAAAACTGTTAATAAATTTATTGGGAAAAATATTACCTCGGCCAGGACTTGAACCTGGATCTCTTGTATTCCGTATGAGCGTCCTAAGCCATTAGACCACCGAGGCTTTAGTAATATTCTTCGCAATAATCGGTACACTAAGGAAACAACATTTTTCTTTCAGGCGACGTAATCTAAACAATATGATGAGATTAATAAAAAAAATAATTAACTAATACCTAATAACTAACCAATTTTAATAATTTATCGAAAAAAGAATCAAGTATTTATAATAATAATAAAAAAAAGGTAAAAATTGAAAAAAAACTAGCTCGAACTTATTTTTGCAATTGATATCTGTAATTACATCAATTACACAGGCCTGCATGGTTTTGTTGATTGGGATTTAACTGTTTTCTTACGTAATTTTTTGCGCTAAATCCGGCGGCAGAATTGCTCTATCACTTCAGGTTTTTGAGAAAAGTGAGGTTAAAGGTGTCAAAATTGACGTTTTTTGACATATTTGTGATTTTTTTGTTATCGAAGTAAATTTTTTTTTTACTTTCGTTTACGCCATCTGAAAGTGTCAACATTTATCTTCAAAATATATTTTTTTAACGCCGTACGTTTTTTTTTCACCGAGATAATCTCTGTGTAGTCACACAAAGAAAAACATTTTTGACACAAAATGTTTGTGTGATTACGCAGAGATTAACTATGTTTTCTTTGTGTGACTACACAGAGATCATCTCGGTGAAGAAAAAACGTACGGCGTTAAAAAAATATATTTTGAAGATAAATGTTGACACTTTCAGATGGCGTAAACGAAAGTAGAAAAAAAATTTACTTCGCTAGCAAAAAAATCACAAATATGTCAAAAAACGTCAATTTTGACACCTTTAACCTCACTTTTCTCAAAAACCTGACGTGATAGAGCAATTCTGCCGCCGGATTCGGATTCAGCGCGAAAAATTACGTAAGAAAACATAGTTAAATCCCAATCAACTTTCAACACCTCCAATTTTGCAGGCCTGTGTTATTATTAGTTTTAAAAGCCAACGCTAGTACTTGACAGCTAATATTTAATGCTTTTCAAATTTTTAACAAACGTTCCGTGCTTAAACTAGTTTCCTAATTCAAGTTTCCTAAATCGTACCGTCACAAGATAAGACTGATAATTGACAATAATTGACTTATTAAGTAAGGTAGGATTTGTTTTTATGTATTAACATTGAAAAGGTTCTAGTTTAAGGACGAAACGTATGTTAAAAATTTAAAAGACATTAAATATTACTTATCAAGAACTAACGTTGGCTTTTAGCTCTTTTTACCTTTTACTATTGTTTTATTCAATTGAGCCTAATAATTCAATTCTCATTATTAGTTTTATTATTGTCCATTATCAGTCTTATCTTGTGACGGTACGATTTGGGAAAAAAACTTGATAGGTTTTATAAAAACATCGATTAAATCTTTATAATAATTGCAAATATGCATATAGAATGAATGTAAAATGTTCTACAATAAATCTTCTTTTATGCAAATTCAGATTAAAATTATGCATGACTATGTTATTATGTCAATATTATAGTTGTATATCAACTACATAAATTGATCAAAACTTAACATCAGTTGTACCTGATGTTAATTTTTAAAAATGTTGCTAGTATGCACAAAACAAGAGGTGTAACCTTAAATAAACTGTTAAATTTTTGTTATGTTACTTATTTCTTTTTATTTCATATTTTTGTTGCTGAATATTGCTCATATTAAATAATAAAATAAAATATTGATGGGATACGATTTGTGGATGATCGGTTCAGTAACTCTCCTCTAATTATGTAATCATTGCACAAGCTGAATAGAAATTTAAATGACAAATTAGTTTATTTAACAAAAATATTGGAATAGAATGAGAATAAATGCAAACGCGAAGAGATCAATGTTTTTATTATACGTAACGTAAAACAGAATAAGGCAATTAGCAAATTTGAAATGCGCGCTGTAGAAGATCCGAAGCGTTTACCGAACCAAATAACTGAAGAATTAAAAAATTTCATATTTTCCCTCTTTTTTTTAACTATACTTAATTTGTCAAATAAAATAATATGTAATATTTTATACTAGTTTCGTCATGGTTTTATGCATTTTAATGAACACATCATATGCACATTGCTTAATCTATCTTATAATCATAATAATATTAACCAACAACATTAATAATTTAAATAATTCTAAATGAGACATCATAATAAATAAATTAGTATATAATAGGTAATGTGATCAATTAGTGCTTATGGTACGAAACTTTACAATAGAAAATATGTACATGACATTACAATAGAAAATATGTACATGACATTACATCACACTAAAGATATTGTGACTGTATTTTTAGTTAATTACAATTGCAATCATATTTTCGAATGCTCTATTTCATTAGAATTCTGAAAAGTGGATTAAAATTCTTATTTATTGTACATTTGTTATTTATTTCATATCTAGTTTTTATTATGATTGATAAACAAGAAATACACATCTCTCTCTCTCTCTCTCTCTCTCTCTCTCTCTCTCTCTTACTTTGAAGAAATATTTTATAATTAATTCTTTTAGTTAGAAGTTCTGATATTTTTAATGGGTGACATATTTTTTTCTATTAATTTTAAATATGTGTCCTCATATATGCATTGGATATAAAAATTTTTTCCTCTTAACTAACTTTTTGTCAGAAAGTTTGTTTTTTTCATAACTTGTATCTTTTGCATGCAAAAGATCATGCAAAATTGTTTCTATTTTTTATAATATGTCATTCTATAATAACATCCACATATGACACTATTGTAAAAAGATAATCAATTTATCGTGAAAACACTTTTCGTATCAGAAGGTGCAAAATTCTTTTCATTTAAATTATTTTGCAACGACTAAAACAGGACCAATATAAAAGATGCAAGACAATATAATGTAGTTTTCTAAATTAAAAACTATAAACATTAGATTTGTGAAGTATAATCTAATATTGTCATAATGAAAATAATGACTATTTCACCAAAAACATCGTTCTTTTACAATGCTGTTTTTAATTTTCTATTTTTAATTTATTAACAGTATTCATCCGAATACAATCAATCGTGCTGCTATACACATTTACAATTTTAGTAGTTCACAGTATTGTTTACGTAGACAGCATTGATTTTTAAGGAGATCCTAAAGACGATTAGTCATATTGAAAATAGCACTTATTATACCCAGACGATTTACGCCCTGATTAAAATTGCGTACAGAAACGGACAGAAAACGCATTCCGTTTCTGTCTGCTTTTATACTATGCGTTTCTTCATCTGCATTTACGGACAGATACGGATAGAATGTGTTCACAGAATTTATCAGTTTCTGTCCGCAAACGTAGATAGACGTACTGCGATTCCTGTCCGTTTTTGTCCACCGATACGGATACGCATTCTGTCCGTTCTGTCTGCCGATATGGATATGCATCCTGTCCGTTTCTGTCCGCCGCGGCGCGCCGATACGGATACGCATCCTATCCGCTTCTGTCTGCCGATGCGGATAAGCTTACTGGAGAATACACATCTGGATACCTCGTATCGTCGACGACAATCACCCGGACGCAAACTTCCTCAACGGAGACCACTGCGCAAGATCACTCATGTCACTCGACCGTGGACAACGACTCGACACCTGGACATCAACTTTCAATTAGTGGAGTAACATCTGGATACCGAATTTCTCGACAGCGACCTTTAGGACGTGTCTAATGTCAACCAGAGATCCCTCTAGGACACCTGGACACTCCCTTCTATGGAGGAATAGCGAGTTTTTTGCAACTTCATTAAGCAACATCCTAACGCCCCTCTCGTTGTTCCCCCAATACTCGGATGACGCTTCCTCAAAGAAAAACATTGGTTCCTTGTCAACGAACCTAGACACATTGTTCTTCGACAGTGAACACGTAGCCACCGATTTCCTCGACGGCGAACACCTAGACGACACCAAGACATTTCGTTCCTCGACGGCGAACACGCAGACAATACCTAAATGCGTTTTTGCATGAAAAGAATCTGTAAGAAAAAACATTGGATCGGCTCTGCGAATCGAGATAATAAGCGTTAGTTGACGACTATCGAGATTGGAATATCTATCATAGCGACGAGATGCAGCGACACGACTATGCGCCGCGGTCATGTACAACATGTCTTCTTCTTTTTCTATTAATGGCTCCCCGCCTCCTAAAATTATAAACGGAGGTCAATACGGCTAGAATATGGAAAAACAAAAAGGTGATGCAATGCCAGCGAAAATGGCGAAGCCCATCCGAATACCGAGCGCCTGCGTCTACGACGTCGTCACGCACGAACGCGCGTCAGGACGAACGAACAAACCGGTCGTCCAAAAGGTCGCCGCTGGAGAGTTATGTTTCTCAAGGCACAGTCTAAGTTGGCAACACTTTCAAAAATATACAAGACAAAAGCACCCGAGCCGAGACGTGTCCGCCGCAGACGAGTGGTTCTTCAGAACTGGATCGATAATATCAATTCGATATATGTAATTGTCAGGGAATGGAAAGTTACTTTTTAAAAGTAACAAGTTACAGTCACCGATTTTTAAAAGTAACTCGTTGTTGTTACCGTTACTTGAGAAAGTAACTTTTCGTTTCTTTTCCGTTATTTTTTTTTAAATCTACGACCGCCAATCACAACGGATGGGCCTTAGGGGCTTCTCTAGTCTCAAGTGCTATGCACTGTAAAAAATTGTTGTGTAAAATTACAACTATTATAGTGGACAATTTTGAGACCCATTATAATAATTGTAAACGTCCTCGCGTTCGTAAATTTGCAATATGCAAATAAAAATAATTTCTTGGTTTATAACTAAGCAGATTGTGGAAGTACAATTACAATATGAATGTGTAGTTACAGGAACGATAATATGACAGTACATTTCTCACTATATATTATTAAACATTTAACGCAGCAATACGCAAAAAAATTCTATTATATTACGTAATATTACTAAAATTTGGATAATTACAGAAAATATTCAAAATATCCTGCTATTTACATAATTTTTAATATAAAATAAGATATATTTACATAAAAAATTTACATAATTTTTGTGGACTTACATAATTTCTGTCAAATTGCATGATTTTTTATATATATACAGGACTAATCATGTAATATATTTTACATTATATGCAGGGATGGGAAAGTTACTTTGTAAAAGTAATTAATTACAATTACAGTTTTTCTCTTTCAAAAAGTAATTAATTACCGTTACAAGTTATTGACTCTGAAATGTAATTCGTTACAGTTACAGTTACTGAAAAAGTAACTTTAAGTTACTTTTAAGTTACTTTTTTCATCGGAATTTTTACTAATAGTATCGATACCATTAGGGCTGTATTAGAAACGTTATCCAACTGCCTTCATGTATCGTTTTACCCTTGTTTTTCACCTAATATTAAACAAGGATGATACACGGGGTCATCAGTGTAATGCAGCATTGGACAATTAAAAAAAAAGACTGGCTTACATTTACATGTTATACAATTTTATTCAAAAAGATAAAAAAAATTGTATGGCAAAGACGTTTTTCGTTAAAGTAATATAAACACATATGAATATGAATATGAATATGAAATAACACACATATACAATAGTTCAGTCAAATAAGCTTTTGAAGAGGAAAAAATTGCTCGCGGGCTGTAGCTTAGTGGAGGGGCGTGTTTTGGGGTTGTAATTACCCAAAAGTTTTTACACCCCCGCATCATGGTCGTAGCGAAAATGGGGGTGCAAAAAAGGTCAAAGAAAACGGTTTTTCGCCAATAACTCAAAAAGTTGAATTTTTAGGGTAAAAAGTATAGACGCGAAAGTTGTAGAGAATTAAATTTTACACAAGAAACGTCTTGACACAATTTTTTACGACCATTTATAGTCGATGTACATTTTTTTTAAATAATAGCTATTTTATGACAAATGAAAAATACGCAAGCGCGTCGCGCATTTTTCACCGATAGTTCAAAAATGGCGACTCAAATAAAAAAATAGTTCAAATAAAAGTTGTAGACAATTTCATTACGAATAATTTTCTTTTTTTCTGTTTTCTGTACGATCAATATTGACAGAGATATGCATTTTTTAAAACATGTATTATCGCTTCTCGAGGATAGTTGTTACTGGTAAAATCGCTTATAAGTCGAAATGTATGGGCGTAACGCAAATATTACATCTTATGAAAGTTAAAGATAATTAAATATCGAAAATTTTCATGTATGCACATTTTGGATATGTGCGTAGTGTGATAATGCTAATAAACATGAAAAAATTGTCTTTTTTTGTGGATTTTGTGAAAAAAAGTCACTTTCGGTTAGCTGTGGGCCAAAATGTATCTGTACATCTATTAAAGAGAATTAAATTATCTTTAAAATCGTTTTTTATTCGCCTCCGTACGATCATTTGGTAACGAGTTACAGCTGATTGAAATATCTGTTTCAAATACAAATTCAAACAAAATTAATAAGTTATTGCAAAAATATGTGCGTAATAATTTTTTAAAAATTGGATATCACCTATTTTCAATACTTCATATGCATATGGAAGTAACGTAATCATATAAGTTCATCGAAAGGTATGATAAGTTATTAAAAAACACCCTCGAAAAGTGGTGTTTTTTGAAGAAATGATATACAATTGCTGTTTATACTTCTTTTTTTGCATATATCTTTTTTTTAATTGATTTTACGAAGAAAATGCATCAGATCAAAATTAAAGCTGACAAAATTTCCTACAAAAATGATCCATTCATATTCGACTTGTGATAAGTACTGTTATGCAATGAATTAATGAAAAAGCTTGTTATTTTGAATTTGGAGCAAAGTGAAACTTTGAATCGTTTTCAATGTTGAAAATAATGTACTTAAAAATTTTTGAGAATTTTTTCAAGTATTTCATCTCATTCTATATACATTTAGGTGTCGTTAACCAGCGACAATAACAGTTTTTCTTGTACTTAACCCTTTAAAACCTAATCTTCTATTTGCAATTTTTAACACGGTTATCATTAATTTTTCAAATTTCGTCCGCTATATTTTATCCGCCATCTTTAATTTATTACAATATTTAAGAACGTCTTCACGATCAGCGACCACAAAATCCGTAAGTACAATATTTATTTCATTAATTAATTAATTAATACATAATTGTGTACTATTTTGTGCGATAGTACTTTCTACTCATATATTGACTGCAAAACAGTAAATATTTAAAAAATGCATATCTCTGTCAATATTGATCGTACAGAAAACAGAAAAAAAGAAAATTGTTCGTAATGAAATTGTCTACAACTTTTATTTGAACTATTTTTTTATTCGAGTCGCCATTTTTGAACTATCGGTGAAAAATGCGCGAGGCGCTTGCGTATTTTTCATTTGTCATAAAATAGCTATTATTTAAAAAAAATGTACATCGACTATAAATGGTCGTAAAAAATTGTGTCAAAACGTTCCTTGTGTAAAATTTAATTCTCTACAACTTTTGCGTCTATACTTTTTACCCTAAAAATTCAACTTTTTGAGTTATTGGCGAAAAACCGTTTTTTTTTTACTTTTTTTGCACCCCCCTTTTTGCTACGACCATGATGCGGGGGTGTAAAGACTCTTGGGTAATTACAACCCCAAAACACGCCCCTCCACGAAGCTACAGCCCGCGAGCAATTTTTTCCTCTTTTTGCAAAAATATCGGCTCAGTTGACTGGACTACAATGTTTTTTGTAAAAAAAATTCTTTTTTTATTCGGTTAAAAGTTGCAAATAAATTCCAGCACTAATCCAAAATAGTTTACAATCATTCACTGAGCGCTCTTGTATTTGATTGGCGGATTCCATTAGATCCCAAAATATAGATCAAACAGGTACAAGAGTTCATTGAACGCTTTAATTAAATTTCTTTCTTCTGATTAATCAAATATTTCGAAGTATTTGTAGCGCCAAGTGGACACTACCACACACTAAATTGACAAATACGTTTTAAATATATAAAATAACTATGAAAGTAACTATTAAATTAGTAGTTACTAAAAGATGTAACTAAATTGACAAATACGTTTTAAATATATAAAATAACTATGAAAGTAACTATTAAATTAGTAGTTACTTAAAAGATGTAACTAAGTTAAGTTATAATTACAGATGGAAAGAAAGTAACGAAGTTAAGTTACAGTTACTGAAAAAAAGTAACTCTAACTGTAACTTCGTTACAAGTAACGAGTTACTTCCCATCCCTGATTATATGTGTAAAGAAATTTTTTTACAGTGTGAATGGCTTGTATCGTATCGTATTCAATCATGTGTAAAGAAACGATAAAAGTAACTGTAAAATTCGTTACCGTTATCAAAAAAAATGTAACTTTGTTACCGTTATAGATACCAAAGAAAAAAAGTAACGCAGTTACCAGTAAAATTACTAAAAAAATAACTTGTAACTTCGTTACAAGTAACGAGTTACTTCCATTCTTAGGGTAGCGATCATGTAACTTTTTCGCTAGAGCGGAAACGTGAAAAGTGAACATTTTTATGTATGTATGTTCGTACATATACACACATACATACAAAGAATTTTCACTTTTCACGTTTCCGCCCTAGAGAAAAAGTTACATGATCGCTACCCTAGTAATTGTGGACAGCTGCTAATAAAAATCGTGACGTATAGAACGCGGACAGAAACGGATAGGATTCCTGTATGTAATTGCGGACAGATGCAGATAGAAATCGCTACGTATAGAACGCGGACAGAAACGGATAGAATTCCTATACATAATTGCGAACAGATGCAGGTGAATTGTGATTACGTACAGGATGCAGACAATATCGGATAGGATCTATAATATTGCTGCAAATGCGGATTTTCTATTCGCAGATTGTGTTTGCGGATAGAACAGACAACTTATTACAGTTAAAAACGGATAGAAATCCTGTCCGTTTCTATTCGTTTTTCTTTGTTATTTTAACTAGGGTGTGTCATTAGAGTTGCCAACGG